CACGACGCCCGTTCCCACCACCAGGACCCTGGCGCAATCAGGGAAGCTTCCCTGCGCTCAGCCCTGCTCCTCCCCTGTTCACCAGGCAGCCACCTGCTGCCTCGGGCCGAGGGCCAGCTGGCTAGCTTCTCCGAGCCTCTCTCCCATCGTCTACGAGCTCACAGGGACAGCTCTTCACGCAGTGGGCCGTCGTCAGCAGCGGCGGCAGGAGCACCTTCTCTGGAACTTTCTTTTCTGACCTCCACCACCTGGCCCTCAGCTTTACTCTCATAAGAAAAGCTGTCCCGGAGACTCCAGGACCCAGGTCAGTGGCCCCGAGGCGGAGCTGCCTGAAGGAGCCTGTGTTCCATCCTGTGGGGCGAGGAGGGAGCCTGGGGCTGAACAGAAGCTCTGAGTCAGCGGGACCCAGCAGCTTCAGGGCCAAGACAGAACTCACGTTGTACAGGATGTCGGTCCAGCCCTCCATAGTGATGCACTGGAACACCGTCAGGACGGCGAACAGGATGTTGTCGAAGTTGGTGATGCCGAAGTTGGGTCCCGGCCAGTACTCCCGGCACTCGGTGTCACCCTCGCACAGCCGGGCTGGGGCCTCCTTGCCGCAGGGGAAGTCGCCCACCGGCTCTGCGTCTGCGAGAAGAAGGGAGCAAGGCTGAGCTCAGACACCGAGTTCTCCACCCGCTGCTGGGACTGTGCGCCCCAGAGACCTCATCACAGTGGGACAGGAATCAGGCACCGAGGGAGACTCTCCCTGCCGCTCCTGCGCCTGCGCCGGCTCTGTCCCCGTGCCTATGGCCTGCCCCCTGCCACCCTCAGACCCACCCTCAGGAACTGCTGGTCGACCTCTCCACCTGCCCATCACTATGTAAACATGCTGAAGACTCATTCTTCTTAAAATCAAAAACAACAGACTCCTAACCTCCGACTCTCCCTGCCACCAACACCCTGATTCTCCCTCACAGCCAAACCTCCACCCAGACTCCCCCGACGTGCAGATCTGTCTGTCACGCTGGAGCCAGAACCAAGCAGGACTCAGCACTGCAGTCTTGGTGCTCACCAGGCAGGTCGACCCAACATGGGCCCAGAGCGTGGCCAGGCTTCAGGGCCCAGTCCTCAGGGCACTGACCCCAGCAAAGGGGACATGCTCCTGCTGGCCTGCAGTCTAGCCGGCAGCCAGGGACTGCACAGAGAGATGTTAAAGAAATCGCAGAAAAGCAGGGCTAATCTCTGGGATAAGGGGGCAAAGCAGCACATGTTAATCCCCTCCACTCCCAAAATCCTAACGAAAGGACAGAAAAAACTATTTGAAAAAACAAATGTATAACCACACATGGAAAACCCCTCCTATCAACATAGGAGAAATTTTCAGGAATTGCTAGGATGGAAAGCAAATGCTCCCAGGTTTAGAAGGCAAAACTGATGATCACACAAGTTTATTCCTTTCCCTCCAAATATCTTAACAAATGCTCATAAAGAAGACCAGGAAGTCATTGTCTGTCTATTTGTAAATAATCACATTCTCTGTACATAATGACAGTTTTATTTCCTCCTTTCACATTCTTGATAGGGTTCTTTTTCTTGCCTCACATTACTGGCCGCGACCACCAAGCCTACGTGGACCAGAAGTGACCATGTGTGTCTTTATCTTGTTCCTGACCTTAAAGGGAAAGCTCACAAAACTTATGACAAAGTATGATGTTTGCAGGGAATTTTAGGGAGTTTAAGAAAATTCCCCTTTATTTCCACTTTGATAAGAGGTTTTTTTAAATTATGAATGATTTAAACTTTAATAAAAACGTTTTCTGCATTTATTGAGAGGATCACACAGGTTTTCTCCTTTAACGTGTTTGTAGCTCAAGACACAAACCTTGGACTTCCCTGGTGGCGCAGTGGTGAAGAATCTGCCTGCCAGTTCAGGGGACATGCGTTCGAGCCCTGGTCCGGGAAGTTCCCACATGCCGTGGAGCAACTAAGCCCGTGCACCACAGCTACTGAGCCTGCGCTCTAGAGCCTGTGAGCCACAACTACGGAGCGTGCATGCTGCAACTAATGAAGCCCGCACGCCTAGAGCCCGTGCTCCACAACAAGAGAAGCCACCTCAATGAGAAGCCCGTGCACCGCAACGAAGAGTAGCCCCTGCTCGCTGCAACTAGAGAAAGCCTGCACGCAGCAACAAAGACCCAATGCGGGCAAAAAAAAAAAAGACACAAACCTTAGTGTCACCTTTAACTCTTCCCTTTCTCTTACTCCACGTACAATTGCCCAGAAAACCCAGTTGGCTCAGCAGGCCTCAATGCAAAATAGACCCAGAACCTGACCCTTTCTAACTGCCAAACAGCCTGGCCCCAGCCACCATCTCTCCTGGACTCAGAGTCCTAGCACGGCCTGAACCCACTGCTTTACCACAGGTAAAGCTGATCAGCTGTCCTCTAGAGTTCTCAGCTTATGGGATCTCACTTCCTGATTTTACGTTAATTTCTGAAGGTCAGAAATGTCATCTCCAAAAAATGTTAAGGGGTTTGTAAAAAATAATCATTTTATTCAATATTATAGTTGTAGAAATGAAGTCTATTTTCTTTAAGAAATAAAAAAGAGAAGAAAATGCCACTTAACATCATCGGTATGCCAGTATAGGCCAGCAGGAAAAAATACTGATACCAAGAAGGCATTCTAGTCCAAGCTATATAATACGCTTCCTATGTTTTCACTGATGTTTCTTTTCTGCTGCTTTTCATCCTTTTCCATATTTCATATCAGAGGACTGGTACAGCCTTTAAAACTCCGTTAACAGGAGCAAATTCAGTATCCACCGATTTCCTCTCAACCCCTCTGCACCCACCGCTTCTCACTCCAGCCTTTCACGCTTACTGTTCCTCGTAACTGGAGCTTCTGGCAGGCGACCGCACAGGCCCCCTCTCACGGCACTCAGATGGCTGTCCAGTTGTCATCTTGGCAGAGAGGCCTCCCCAGGCCACTCTCTGTGAAGCAGGCCCCCAAATTACTCTACTGCAAATACCTTTCTTGTTTCCCTCCTAGAAGTTACTACAATCTGACATTATTTTATGTGTTTGTGTTTATCTTTTTGTCTGGCATCTAGAGGGCACCGCCCCCACCCGCCAGGGCCCAGAACACGGCATCTCTCCAGGATGAGTGAGTCTGTGGTCCTCGTCGGGGTCTGAGGAGCGCTGCTAGGCCTCACCTGTACTGTTGGGGAAACAGGCCTTGTGGAACCTGCCCATGTAGAACTCGAGGCCAATGATGGCGAACATGAGGATGGCGAAGAAGAGAAGCAGCCCGATCTGCAGCAGCGGGACCATGGCCTTCATGATGGACTTGAGCACCACCTGCAGACCTGGGGCCGGAGCAGGCAGAGCAGGCAGGTCAGAGAGCACAGTGCGCAGAGCGGGCCGTGGGCTGGGGGCGTGGACAGCACAGCAAGAGCCTGGGCGGGCAGGGCTGAGAGTCCTGGGCAAGGTGTTGAGCAATGAGTATCCACGAGGCCAAAGGACAGAGCTGGGCCCTCCAAGTGGGGGACAGAGCAGGGAGTGGTGGGGAAGCAAGAAGTCTTGAGGGAAGGAGGACAGAGCAGTGAGTGCCTGCATGGGGCAGAGCTGAGAGTCCTTGGGGCGGGGCACAAAGCACAGGGTCTCGGGGCAGTGGGGAGTGGACCGAGCACTGCCCCAGTTCAAGGGAGGAGCAGCGTGTGGCGGTGTCGGCATGAAGTTCTGGCGAGATCTTGAGTCTATGGAGGGCTCAGGGTGGAGCAACAACAGAGAGTCCTGAGAGGAAAGATGAGGGAATCCTCGGAGCTGAGAGCAGGGGATCATGGGAGGGAAAAGCAGGGGATCCTGGGAACTAAGAGCAGGGGATGCTGGGAGGGAAGAGCAGGGGATCCTGACAGAGAAAAGCAAGGGATTCTGGGAGAGAAAAGCAAGAGATCCTGGGAACTAAGAGCGGGGGATCAAGGGAGGGAAGAACGGGGAATGCTGGGAACTAAGCAGGGGATGCTGGGAGAGAAGAACAGGAAATCCTGGGAATTAAGACCAGGAGATCCTGGGAGGGAAGAACAGGGGATCCTGGGAGGGAAAAGCAGGGGATCCTGGGAACTAGGAGCAGGGGATACTGGGAGGGAAGAGCAGGGGATCCTGGGAGGGACAAGCAAGGGATCCTGGGAGGGAAAAGCAGGGGATCCTGGGAACTAAGAGCAGGGGCTCCTGACAGATCCACCCCTCAGGGAAAGTAAAGCAGGGGGCCTACTCCTAAGGAATGTTTTACCACTGACCGTGGGGCATGAGTATGTCCAGACCAGAGGAACTGGGCAGAAGAGGCTGAACCCCACTATCCCCACTTCCTGCTTCACCCCAGCTCCTGGGTACAGGCCTGAGCCTTTGCCTGGCAGGGTCTTAGGGCAGAACACGGAGCCAGCCAGCGGTCTTCCCTGCAGTGGGCTCGGGCGACACAGCCTCAGGGCCCTGCCACCCAGGCCCTGAGGGAAACCCAAACTTCCACTGGCTTGGAGGAACACGGGCACAGGCGTCACCGGCTCTCGATGTAGCCTGGCCACCCCCTGCCCTCGCGTGGCCTCTTGAGCAGTCCAGTCCCGGAGCATGTCTTAACCAGGTCACAGGTCCCAACAGCCCTGCCCAGCCTGAGCCAAGACAGGTGGTCCTTTGCAGCCTCTGAATATGTTCTCAGGCATCCCGCCCCACCACCTTGGTCGATCTTTCACCTGCCCTCCGCAGAAAAAGAAGCAAAGAGCTGGAAATACAGCAGAGGGTGTGAGGAGGATCAAAGCTTCCACGTAGGGAAGCCAAGTTACCCTCTGGGTTTTCACGGAGTTGGGAGAGACTGGAGAAGGGCCGCTCCTCCCTTCTTCGTGCCTGGTTCCCCGGGGTCAAGGGCAGCGAGCTCAGAGTCACCAAAGGGCCCACTGTTAGGGCCTAACTGGCCATGCCAGGGGTTGGGAGAGAGGTCAGTGTCCAGGTAGGCTGGGCCTGATTGCTTTTGCCAGACTCACTTGGAATCCCAGACACCAGCTTCAGGGGCCTCAGCACACGCACAGCCCGCAGGGTTCGCAGGTCAAAGTCAGTGCCAGCTGTGGCGAGGATCCTGGCAGGAACAAAGACAAGGGGGAAGTGAGGGCTTCCGCATGGAGTTGAGAAGAGGGCACGCCCCTCCCACCACCCATGTCCTGTCTTCCAAGAGCAGTGACACCTTCGTGCCTGTGTCCCCCGCTGTCCAAGCACGGGGGTGGGGGTCGGGGGCGGCGTACTAGGCAGGGAAGGCCAGGAACTGAATTCAGACGTCCTCGCCAGCAATGTTAGGAATGGCTTTTACCAGCATAACCATCCCTCCAGGCATCACCCCGAGAGGACACTTGGTCTCTGGTCCCTGGCCAGGCCTTGAATCTGTCCTTGAATTGAGTCCAAGCCTGAACCATGTCCCCAAGCAACCCCAACTGCACTCCAAGCTGCCTCATGACAGGTGGTGATAGCAGGAGCGGGAGTAGAATGGAACTTGAGGGACTTCTGAACAGATGCCACATGGCCTATTCCTCACTTTACCACAGGAGAACACAGGAACAGACAGTGGGGAAAGTGAATAGAGGGCTCAGAGGACTCCCTTAGCATAAGAGCATACCCCCAACGTCTCCCATCTTAAAACAAAACAGAAAATTCCATATCTGCCTCCAACCCTAGCACATTTCTCTGCTCCCTTCACTCCAAAGCTCATTGAAAGTGTCAATCCTTGGTCTCCCCACTGCCTTACCTTTCTGCCTCTCTTTAGCTTTGTCCAACTATGTTCTCACCTGCACCATTCCACTGAAATGTTTTGTCAAGGCTTCTTGCCAATTGCAATGGTTAAGTCTCCTTCTATAAACGGTTTCTTCTCTTGCCCATTGGTCAATTCTCTCATTTTCCTCTTAACATCCTGGGAGTCTCTTCTAGGTCTTCTTTGCAAGCTTTGCCTCCTCTACCAGACTGAAAAATTAGATGCCTCAAGGCTCACACCATATAGGATCTGCCCGATAGCTTTGAATACCACGGTATGCATATTACTCCCAATTTATATCTTTAACTCAAGTCTGGAACTTTGGGCTCATATATCCATCCAAGTGCCTTTTTTAACATTTCCACTTGGATAGCAAAAAAAGCATATTCTTTTTAAAACTTTAATGTAAATATTAAAACATGTACTTTTTTTAAGTTCAGAGTTGTTACACAATGGTGACTAGAGAACTTTTTATTCTTTCTCTCAATCTTGCTCCTTCCCCAGTATTTCCCCCTCTCTGTGAACAGCACTAGTCAAGTGTTTCATAAGCCAAAACCAAGGCTTCATACCTGACTCCTCTCTCTCTTACACTCCCCATCCAATTCACTAACAATCCTGTTGGCTCTACCTTTAAAATGCACCCTGGATGCTTGGTGAACAAGGATTGTTGTCCCCCTACTCTAAATACATAGCAGCAAGGAATAAAATTTGAGATGCAGCTGGGATAAAAAATAAGATAAAATGGTCAGGGGAGAAGAAAAGAAGGGCAACGAGAAAATCTATACAAACCAAAATTCCATAGCACGTGAGAAAATCCAATACTAAGAGTGATATTCAACTACTAAAATCAACTATTGAAAGATTAATTTTGTTCAGATGAAATCAACCAATTATGAAACAAAAATAGGCAGAAACAGGTAGATATTCTAAAAACTAGCTAGAAGTTTTGGAAATAAATAGTTATTAAAATAATATCAATAATAATAATCATACTCTAGGCTGGAGACATAGTTGGAGTGTATTAATGGTTTAGGAAATAGTACTAAGGAATCACTCACAGACATTGGGAAGACAAAGAAAAAACTGAAAGACAAATTAAGCGATATGGAGGTTTGCTTTCTCAAATTTAAAGTGCATTACAAGGGGCTTCCCTGGTGGCACAGTGGTTGAGAATCTGCCTGCCAATGCAGACGACACAGGTTCGAGCCCTGGTCTGGGAAGATCCCACATGCCATGGAGCAACTGGGCCCGTGAGCCACAATTACTGAGCCGGCGCGTCTGGAGCCTGTGCTCCGCAACAACAGAGGCCGCGATAGTGAGAGGCCTGCGCACCGCAATGAAGAGTGACCCCCACTTGCCACAACTAGAGAAAGCCCATGCACAGAAATGAAGACCCAGCACAGCCATAAATAAATAAATAAATAAATACATTGTGTATAAAAAAAAAAAAAAAAAAAGAAGCTAAGAGAAAAAAATTAAAAAAATAAAAAAATAAAGTGCATTACAAGGTACCAATCACATAAATAAAATACATCCAACTAGAAATGGTGTGAGGAACTGCAGAATATCAAGCATAAAAAGAAAGTATTAAAGGCTACCAAAGAGAAAAGATGAAATATCTAGGGAAAAAAAGAATAATTAAAAGGAGAGAAAACTTCACCTCAGCAAAAAAAAAAAATATATGCTAGAAGACAATTAAGTAATACCTCCAAACAGCAGCAGGAAAATAATTGACATCTTAGAACTTTATATCCAGCTAAACTGTCAATGAAGAGTGAGGGCAAAATAAACATATTTTCAGAGATAAAATAAGTCATCACCCCAGATCTTCAGTAAAACATGGGAACCGAACCTAAAGGGAAAGCACAGTATACAAGAGCAATGGTAGGCACAGAAATTTTTTAAATAGTTAAATTTAATTAATCGTTGATTTTTAAAACTATGATGTCCAATTTTTCATTATTTTCTACATGCAAAACTAACAACCTAGGCAATAATAAAAATATTTACAGGAGGGGTTGTTCCATGTGTAGTTGCATCAAATTATGTTATAGAGGCTAAATCACTCTTCATTGTATTAGGCCAGAGGATGGCAAACATTTTCTGAAAAGGGCCATTAGTAAATATTTAGGCTTTGTGAGTCATAGAATCTCTGTCACAACCACTCAACTCCATCACTGTAGCATAAAAGCAGATAATATGTCAATGAATGGGCAAGGCTGTGTTCCAATAAAACTTTATTTATAAGCACAGGTTGCCAGACAGATGAGCTATAATTTTCTGTCCTCTGTGTTAGACAAATGACTAGTTATGAATATGTATTTAAAATGTTAAGGATATCCAGTAAATGGATAGAAATACAGTCTACTTCAAAACCATCAGAGGTGAAAAAGGTATGTAGGGAACAGGTAATATAGAATATTTTGTCACACTACAAAAGTCAGGAAAAGACTCCCCCAAAACAAAGAAAGAATATAAAGAGGAAAAACAAAATAAGATATTAGGCATAAGTCCAAACACACAAGTAATAAGAAGAAATATAAATGAATTTTCATTTCCTATTAAATCATACATGATTAGACTGGAGCTTTTGAAAGTCCAACTTGCAAAAAGTTGCTACCTACAAAAGCCATACCTGAAAAAAAACACAGAAATGTTGAAAATAAACAGATTTTTTAAAAGAAAATACTAAGTAAATGCTACAGAAAAGGAAGTTGGTATATAATACTAAAGACAAAATATAATTTAAAGCAAAAAACAATCCTAAGGCTAAAGAGAGATATAATGCATAATACTGAAAGCAAAATTACACCAAGGAATATGATCATCATTAATTTTTATGCACCCAAACCTCATAAATTCAAGACAGATAAAGAAAAAGAATGAGAACTCCAACATAGTGGAAGATCCTCACAAAGCTCTCATCAGAACCTGAAAGACTAAACACCAAAATTTAGTAAGGCTGAACAAGATTAAAACAGAATTAGCACCCTTGATCCATTTTATTGTTCTAATCTTCTATATCTTTCATATATTACCTTTATCTACCTACCTATCTATCATCTATCTATCTATCTATCTATCATCTATAATCTATTTTCCTAACAAAATGTGCTCCTAACAAATAGAAAATATATATTTTTAGGAGTACATGGGAATAGCTTTGGAAATACCCGACATCACAAAAGAAGCCTCAGCAAATTTCAAAAACTTAGTAACATATATTATTGTACTTCTCCAATTAAATAAGATACTACTATAAAACCACATTTTAAAAAACTTGCATTATAGAAACCTTCAAAATGCACAACTAAATAACTCATTAATTAAAGACATTACCAAATATTTAGAACTCATCAACAACAAAAATATTACAGATTATATGTGTGAGGTTCAGTCAGAGTGATGCCGTAGGGGAAATTTATAAACTTAACTGATTTTATTTTTTTTAAGATTAAAAATAAATAAACCAAGTATTGCTATGTCTCAAGGATCTTAAAAAGAATAGCAGGGTAAATTTAGAGAAAGCAGAAAAATGGAAATAATAAAGAGTAGACATGGTGAAGATAGAAAATAGAGAAATAATAGAAAGCTGAATCTTTGAAAGTTTAATCAAATGAACAAGCTTCTGGCAAGAATAATCAAAAAGAGAGTACACATGCATACAAAAGATACATATACAAATAAACATAGTATATGCATGCATGCACACATGTACCCTTATACATTTGTGTGTGCATACATGTGTACACACATGCACAGGAAAGTATAAACATACAGGGAACACAACTACAGACAGGAGAGATTTTTAGAATCACAAGAGAATATTATTAACAATTTTATGCCAATAGATGCTAAAATTTTGAGGAAATGGATACATCCTCTTGAAAAGCAAGTTACCAAAAGTGACAGAAGTAGAAAACCTGAATAAACCATGAACAATTGTATTAGTTTTCTATTCTGTAAAAACCTACCACAAATTTAGTGACTTGAAATCGCACCCATTTATTAGCTCACAGTCCTGTGGGCCAGAAGTCAGGGCACATCGTGGCTAAATTCTCTGCTGCAGGTCTCACAAGGCTGAAATCAAGGGGACAGCCAGCTGCATCCTCGTCTGGAAGCTAAACTAGGGAAAGTGATGCTTTCCAGCCCCTTCAGGTTGTCTGCAGAGTTCACTTTCTTGCAGTAGGAATGGAGTCCCCTTGCCTTGCTGTCAGCCGGGGACTTCTCTTAGCCCCTGGAGGCCACTCTCAGATCCTTGCCACCTGGCCCCTCAACAGTCCCTCTCACACTTCTAAACTCTCTGACTATAGGAAGAGCCCAGTCCCTTTAAAGGG